TTCCTTAACTATTTCCGATTTCCCAGGAAAATTCCAGATTCCCGGAAAATGCTTACGATTTCAGAGATTCTCTGCGCTTTGCTTATCAGCGAGCCGAGAAGATGTAAGCCCATCTGAAGAACTCGCCGTGATACTTGAGGTTGATGGGTAAGTTCCGATGAAGAAAAGCTTCAAACTTTCTGATGAGATTGTTATGAGTTTTTGAGCAACTTTCTTAGTGATGGTTAAAACTTTTCAGTTTGTTTGTTTCTGTTTTTATTTCAGAGTAATGATTGATACATGGTCAAGTAATCGCCAGGCGTTCAATGTAGGTGCGGCTTAAATCACCCAATTCTTTTAGAGTAATCCATGAGATTTGTGCCCTTTTCTGATGTTGTTGCCTCTTATTAGCTTTTCAAAAGCTTGGGCTTGATTGTGCAAATTGGCCTGAACCAGTTTATTCAGACCTGTTGAGGTATAATATCTGAGTTTGTAAGTGTGTTTTCTTGTTAGCGTTTTGGTTTCTTGACATTGGTTTGCTTGAGGTTCACTTTGAAATGCTTAAGAACTAAGAACTGATTCTTTTGATGGAAATGGGTTTTACTTCAGCTATTTGAAGATAGTTGTATATCTGTGACCTTGAAGAATCAAGTTCTAGGGAGATGAAGTATTGATTCTTAGTTTTAGTCTAGTAGATACTAAGCTAATTGTGTTCCATTCAAACTGTTTTTGCTTCTTTTTTTTCTTCGTATGCTCATAATCAACAGCTATTTTCCCTTCGGTTACCCTCGATATGAGTAGACAATTACATTGAGCTCATATTACTATTGCATTTCGTTGTCTGAAAGTGATTAGTTGATTAATACCAGAAAGGGTGCTGCTGATGAAGAGAAAATGTTGCTATTGTATTTCAACCAGGTAAGTTATCAATTTTTTTGCTTAAGCGTCATTAGCGAAATGCGGCCACGCGGTTATCGGAATCTGACGCTTCGTTTTCTCGCTTGTTTATCTACCTCTTTTCAGATTGGTTGGCCTTCCTCATTGCCAACCAGTGAGAAAGAGAGTTTTGTAAAAAGTGTATTGCGAGAAAAGGTTGCACGCATACCTATATCTTTCTTCGAAGTTTAGATAATTCCATCAATTGCTAACTCCAACTTGTATGTGGCAGAAAAATGCAATGAATGAGTTTCTGATGTCGAAAAGCTTACCTCTGAGATCTGGAGTTCAAGAGTGAGTCTCTTAGATATGCCTGATGATTTCTCTTTCAGACTGAAACGAAGAACTAGAGACTTTTTTCTTGTCTTTGTAAATTATAATTTTTTTGACCTTTTTGAGCTGTAGATTTATCGATAATGCATACACGGAGAGAGTACCTGTTGCTATCGTTACAGCCTATTGCAAGAGCGGAGACAAAGTAGCCTTGTATGTAGCTAAGCTCCCAAAGATTATTCTTTCTGCAATTTATTCTGTCTTTAGTTCTAATTGCTCAAAGATGCACCAATTTCAGTTCTCCTCGAGATCTCTGAGGTTCACATGCATATGCTTTTGATACAATCCATGATATTCTCAATGGTTAAATTTGTTGAAAACAACACTAGCCCTAGGAATTTGCTTCAGAATATCGAGTTTTCATGCTGTTTTCTCTTGGTGATTGTAATAAATCACTTAAAAACCAGAAAATGCAAAGTGAAAAGTAGTACTTGAGGAAACTCTACAAAACAAAATCCTACATAGATTTTATCCGTTATTTCTCAACAATCTTGATTTTTATTTTTGCTATGATGCGAGTATTTAACAGATCCGTTGTTGAGATGCTTGGCCAAGAAAGACTTTCGAATGTAAAAGTTATCGGAGACAATGAAGTAGAACAGAGTATGTATGGACAACTTGTTCTTGGCAAAGGAATTTCTTCAAGTCTAGAGGAGCAACTAGTGAAGGAAGTAAAAAAAGCAGGTATAGAGCTCGGAGTCAATTTGCAAATCCTTTTTCTATCTAATATCTTCTTTATTGCAGTAAATATCTGATCCACCTTGTTTTTCTGACCAGCGTCCGCTGAGAAACAGAGGATAGCAGAAGAAGTTGCATCAATGCTAAAGCTAAGTGTTGACATTGACACAAGCTCATCTGAGAGGTGGAACTTTCTGTTCTTATCTACAAATCATCCAACTCCATACGTTAACAAGATTAATAAAACATCTTCTTGTTGTCTTCTTTATTTTTTCCAGATTGGAGAAAATCGTTGTTGCTTTGCGTGCTGCTGCAGAATATGCTGGATTACCTGTAAAAAACTGTGTACTTGTTGCTGGTAGTCAATCTGGAGTTTCTGCTGCAAAGATGATAGGCATGCCGTGTGTAGTTATGCGAAGCAGGTATGGTTTTCGATTGTTTTGATGTCTCTATTTCGATTCTACACAACTAAAGCCTGAAAATTGCTTCAGTGGAGCCTTGTTCATTTTACTCATTTTCTTTAACCATTATTTTGTTCTGGTAGTTTAACTGCAAGAGGTGAGTTTCCATCAGCGAAAGGTGTAATGGATGGGTTTGGAGGTGCAGACCTAACAATCCCAAAGCTTAGGAACAAGATTAAGTCTTGAAGAAACAATTCAAGTGAGTTGTCTAAAGATCAGAATTTGAAAAACCTGTCGAGCTATTTGTTCACTTGTCGAAGTTTTTGGTGGATTTTTTTGGCTTGATATCTATAGCTACATGCTGTAACAACCTGGATTCTTTGTAATGTACTGGTGTGGTTATTTTCACTATTCAGACAGCAACTAACCTTTACTCAAACTTATGTCCATCAACATCCCAAAGATGTACAAATGTTTTCGTCTAGCCTAGAGGAATGCATGATCAGAGAATTAAGAAAATGAGCTTCATAATTTGATTCTTTCGAAACTTATTTCTTCAGGGTTTAGGTTCAAAATGATATATGATTTTGTTTCAAGACAAGACACTACGTATATATAACTACAGTACGATTCTTTATGAAGAACAACACTGTCAGAACCGACAGAGCCTTGTTCTATTGTAAATCTTTTACTTCTAGTTGGTTTACTCTTGTACTTCTACTCGGTTTGCATTTGAGTGATCTCTGTTTCTTGTACATTGCTGACGTTTCGTCTCTGAACCAGAGCAGGGCTTGAGTATTCTGCATCATCATCATCCAATGATGATATGTTTGATGAGACGGATTCAGATATTGTGCTTGAGATGGCGTTTGTTGGAGATTGTTGTCTGTAGCTTTGGGAAGCTGAGTGTTCTGGTGCTTCAGTAGTTGTTTTTCCTTGTGCTTCTTCCGCGAGCTTTCTTAGAAGATTCATAACAGTTGGAAGAAACTTTGAAGTGATAGAGAGTACTCCAGCAAGCTAACAGATGCAGGAAATATGGTGTTAAGATGATGTCACTTCAGAAAAAAATTGTGTTTGAAACAATCGAGGAGGCTAAAGTAGCGAGAGCTTACTGCGCCGTGTTGAAATTCCCTAGGAATATCAAGCTGCACCCATAAGGCTTTGGAGACCAAAAACGCCACGAAGAAACCCAAGAGGTACAAAGGATTCCTGTTACAACAAGATGAAACATGCCGATGAATCTAAAAAGCTGAAACATTATGGGAGAATCTTGAATGAACTGTAAAGAAGTGCAAGGAAATTGGTATTTTACTTTAATAGCATCATGAATTCATTGAAACCAAGGACAATCATTAACACAATTGCCCAAGCCGGTGGAAGCCAGTTGTTATTCCGCTTGTGAGCCTCCTGGGGAGTATAAATGAGAACATTACCACCGATTAAATTTATGTATATAACATAGAAATTCTGAGATGATTTGCAAAATCTCACCTGTGCGGATATAGCTTGGGTTACGGTATACTCAGTCTCAGATTTAAACTGTCTCCACAGTGACTTACACTGTACTGGCGTCAGTAGCACATCTTTTGGAGGTACCTGCATCCACCAAACCATAACATTGGTAGTGCGATTTGACTACAACTGGAAGTGGCATCCGTATTAGCATCCAATGTGCCACAATGCCAAATACATATGTCCTAATTTCGACAGAACAGAATAAAGTGAACTAATTTGGATTTGCATTCCATTTATTATGATGCCTCAATAGTAGTCGCGCTTATTGACCTGTGTATACTAGAAAACACTGAATAAGACTGCTTACCTCTTCCCAAGAGCTAGACGCAAGTGGATCCGAAGAAGTTCCTAAACTTCTGTTGCGGGAAGATGCAACAGAAACAGTTCCGTCCATGAGAGAAGAGAAAAGAGTACTCTCAATTTTGTCTGGTCTTTCATCCAAACGTATCGCAGCCATCACAGATAGAAGACTTAAAGCCTGCCGGATAACAACAGAGTGGTGAGTTTCATGACATCAACTTAGCCCCCTTCGCCATTAATTTAAGGAGTTACCTCTGCTCGGGCATCTTTTGTGATTGCTCTAATATCCTCTTTTCCAGTCCAGACCCGTGGCATTGAGTCTTTGTCATGACTGAAGACTGTTGAGAACCTGACATGTGTTTGGAATACTATCAAGCAGAGAAAACTCAAAAAGGCTTTAATAGGAGTGTACTCTGTTCTTTTTTCTTACCTATCTTTCATTCGGATTAGAATTTTAGCAGCTTCTTCTCTCGCTTTTTTCTCCACTACACTCTGAGAATCGTTCTTTAGATTCTGAACCGTAGCATCAATTGTGGCGTGATCTAGCTCAAAACCAGTAACCACGTCCAGAAAATCTCTAACAGCTGTTTCAGTCTCGCGTTTGAGAAGAGTCCTTATGGAAGGCCACGTCTCTTTTCCACCAGCTTCGAACAAAGACTCAACAGGTTCACCAAGTGCTTGAGTTAGCCGTTTCTGTAAACCACCATGGAGCAAAACAAATCAAAATACAAGTCCTTAAAAGCTAAGAAATCAGAAGAAGAGAAAACCAAAGCAGAACCTCGTAGTTGGCTGTTAATTCAGATAGTTTGGCAGTCTGAGTAGATAATGTGTGAGAATCAATGTCACGACAAAGTTTCTCTCTGATTTTGGATGCATCCCAAGACGCTTGTTTAACCGCAGCATCTGAATGAATAAACACAATTTATAAATGTTATTGTAGTTTTTGGTCAAAACCATTTGTTTCTCACAAGGAAACTCTACTTTTGAAGCACAAACTAAAATAGGAACTCTCACCTTCACATCCTTTGTCAAACACAAGCAGACAAGACTGTTGGGAGTCCCGCACAGCCTTTGCAAATCCTTCTCCTTGATTTAGGGACTGTTCCAGTCGGATCTTAAAGGATTCCAGTGCATTGGATCGTAGATGTCCCAACATGGTAGCATAAGCAGAGTACACGAACTGAAATTTGGAGAAAAGTTGAAAATAAGAGACAATAATCATAAGTAACCAGATCCTGAGTCAACACTATTAATGATGTACACCCAAAGCCGGAGGAGTTCTTACATCCAAAGCTTTCGATTTCAGCTGAAGACGCTTTTCTTTTCTTACTCCTTCATCAAAGTATATTGCCTCTGCGTCGTATCTAAGAAGGGTTAAGCGAAACAAGATTAGGCAAAAATTCTTTGCTTGGGAATTAAATACTTCAGGATCCAAAAAAAAGAAGCTTACTCTGAGAAGTATTTTTCAAGGATAGAGCTAAGCTTTTTGCCAAAACCAGGAACCGGACCACCTTCTACGGCTTCTTGCAAGTCCAACCAACCCTAAACAAAGTCTAACCCGTTATGCCTCACAAAACATCTAAATGAGCGAGAAAAAAAACTGAAATAGGTAAGGAGGCTACAGAAGCATACCTCATCGGTTGCCAAATGGCGTAGCTTCTCATTGGCTATTTCTTCACACCGAACAGTGGCAACCATTACCTTGCAAGCATAAAACAAAACAACATTAGGTCCCAAGACCAGAAAACATGGTTTAACCACAGAGATTTTAATGAATAGAAGACCTTGTGAGCAGGAAGGTCCAAATCCCTATTCTCTTTTATAACTTTCCAAATCTGCTGGGAGCTGAAAGAAAATCCGGAAGCAGGAACAACACCACGTCTATCACCAGCAAGTCCCCCAGGGGAAATGGAATGGAAAAACCTCTGCCTCAACTCAGCAACCTATTTAAAAGTCCGCATGAATCAAGGGAATCGGTCTTAGGTTTACTTTGATGCTTCAAAAGACATGTGTTTTACATATCAGAAGAATACCTCTTGCATAAACAGTTCTTCTTTCGCTTCATAGCTGGATAATGCAACGACTTCCACCTACAAGCATGTATCAAACCAATTATCAAATAAAGATAGAAATTCATCATAAGAAGCATCATCTATGTGGGAAGACTATCTCCTTACATTGAAGAATTCACTTAGAGGTGTATTCTTGTGTTCTTCAGGCTTGCGAACTAAATCCCATATCTGCAACAAATCATAATTGATACCCAGACTTCAGAGAGGAGAAAAAAAGACGCTAAAATAAGAGGAAATTGAGAGAGAGTGTGTATTTTACCTTCTGAATATCTTCTCTTAGAAGAGGTTCAAGCCGCTCAAATGGAGTCTAAGGACAAAAGCATATGTCAATCTAAGAAATATGACTTCACCATCAAGAATCATATTTAATTGCAAAACCCAAACCTTTGTTTTATCACGTATGACGAAAAGAAGAGTTGTTTTCCGAGGGCTAAACAATCGCATCATGACCTACAAAAGCAATAGTGACCAAGTTATCGAACCTATTGATGGAACATATGATGACCTACAAAAGCAATAATGACCAAGTTATCGAACTACTGATGGAACATAACGTTCCAAACATCATGATACCTGAAAAACTGTCTTCAGTAACGGTTTGTTGGCAGCCTGTTCCCTTCCAATGTCGTGGCACCACCTATGGAGTTTACCATTTCATGAATTAATAATCTAGCAAAAAGGGTATCCATGTTCCAAACCTTTTATGCCTACGAATACATCATGCCTGTGCTGATAGGTCTCTACCAAATTTACTCGAATCTAACTTTAACATAGTACTTAAGATTCAGAAAAGATATCAAACATATAAGTATCGAGGGGTTGTAAATCTGAAATTCTATCTAGCTTCTAATAACTTTGGCCGTTAACTTTCTTTTTTCATGTAATAAATACATCAGTAATAGCTTTCAGAGAAAGATACAGCAAAATATAGAGACTCACATGTTTATCAGTACAATATCGGCAACAGCAAGAGCGAACAGGGCACTTTGTTTCTCAAATGTAGTGTCATCCTGAAAATTGCGGGAACCATTGACAAAAAGAATAGGAAGTGAAAAGCTAGAAACACATAAGAAAATATAAAAGTATCAAGTATAAGTATCTGCAAGATATAAGTATCCAAAAATTTTCGAAATTTCTGAAAATTTATTAGCATGACTTGGTACAACTAATTATATTGCAGTATAGATTGCTAATCGTTATTCATATTACCTCGCCTCTTTCTCTCCCATCAGTACCCTCTAAATCCATGGCAAGTGTGAAAGGCTCAATTCCAACACACCTAGCCATCCAAATACCTTTGGTTGTTTGACTCCTGCAAAGAAGATGAAGACAAACTTACCAAGTCAAACAAATTTCAAC